GCTCAGTGTCTGACACCTATAATCCCACCACTGAAGGATGCTGAGGCGGGAGAATCATAAATTCCAGTCCCTTTGGGTATTTTAGCTATTGTACTTAACAAGACCCTGTCTCAAAATTTTAAAATGGGCTGGGATGTAGCTCAGTGGTAGAGTACTGCTAGATTTGATCCCTGGTACTGAAAAAGAACAATAAAAGTCACGTAAAAGAAAACCAAAGAACAATTTGCCGAAGGCCTTATTGGGAAGTGCAAGGCATGAGCAGACTCTGAATGAGGCTTGTGACTGCAGGAGGGAGGAATGCTAGAGCTTTAGCAAGAGGACTCCAGGGGAGTTAAGCTACCTTCAGAAAGAGTTAAGGATGATATTTAGAGAAAGGAATTGTTCTTGCTGATTAACACCCACTGTCTGGGCAACGTGGATTTTATCAAGAAAGAAAAAGGAACTAAGTTGGGGAGGAGTCTGGGGAGGTACCGTGACAAGGGCCACAGCGAATGTTCCCATCCTTTCAGTATCTCGCACACATACACTGCTATCTCTTCATATTTCTATTCTTATGTGTTTATATTTTGTCTCTTTTTATGTTTTGAGTTTACCTAGGGAGTAGTCTTATTATTCTTTATTGCCTACAGTGTTTTACATTCATAATTGGTTAATATGGCAATTAGTAGCTGGTGGTAATCAGTAAATATTCATAAATTTGAGCTTTCCTTTATTATGAGTCAAGTTTCCACACTCCTGCTCACATAGCATGTAGGTTCTGTAGAAACTGACATGGTAAAGACACATTTTTATTGTGTTTTCTAATTTTAACTTTCTTTGACTTTTCCACCAAAGTATCTACTAAATATATACTTAATAGCAGTAGAAAATTTTAGTGGGTTTTATTGAAGCTCACAAAACATATATAGTGTATTAAGACATAAATGGGGTTGGGAGATAGCTCAGTAGAATAAGTACCTGCCTGACAAGCACAGAGTCCTGAGTTCAATCCCCAGTACTGCAACAAAAAAAAAAAAAGAAAAAGAAAAAGAAAAAAGACATACATGGCTGAAAAATCCTAAAGACATTCAATTCAACACCTACTGAATAAGTTGTAAGCATCACAAATAAAATTATAAGGGCTGGGAGGTAACTCAGTAATGGAGAATTTGCCTAACATAAGGAAGGCCCTGGGTTTGATCACCAGCACTGGAAAAGAGAGAAAGAGAGAGAGAGAGAGAGAGAGAGAGAGAGAGAGAGAGAGAGAGAGAGAGAGTCCGTCCTTGCTTTACAATAACTTATAGTCAGTGTTACTTAAACAGTGTAAACAAAAGCTAAATGGGACCACAGATACACGTTTATCGTTCATCATTTCACTTTGGACATACTGTTATGATCACCAAAACCTAAGAATAAGGGCTGGCCAGATAGCTCAGTGGATTAAAGCACCTGCTTAGGCAAGTGCAGAGACCGGGATTCAATCCCCCATACCGCATGCCATGCCTGCCCTGCCCCTGGGCACACTGAGGCAGCCACTGAGACCAGGCGTGGTGGCACATGCCTGTAATCCCAGCACTGGGAAGGCTAAAAACAGGATCACTATGAGTCTAAGCTACATAGTGAGCCCCTGTACCAAATACATTAATTAATTAATTTACTAATTTCAGAAAACTAACAACTTCTTTAGAGCAAGACTGGTTAAAAACTGTGTAAAAGGGCCAGGGATGTAGCTGAGCAGTATAAACACCTGCCTGGCAAGTGAAAGGTCCTGAGTTTGATTCTTTTTTTTTAAACCCATATAAAAGCTGAAAACTGGGGCCATAGGCGTAGCTCAGAGGCATAAGCACCTACCTGGCAAGCACAAAGACTCAAGTTTGATCCTCAGTCCTTTCCCAGGCGTGCCTCTTGGCCTTAGATGCGGGTGCCCACCGTGTGCCCCCAGAACCTGCAATCCCAGCCCTCGGGAGATTGAGCCAGGAGGATCTCTACAACTTTGAGACCAGCCTGGGAGCTACAAAAGGGAGCACAGGGCCAGACCAAGCTGCATAGTGAGACCCTATCTCAAAAAAAAAAAAAAAGTCGAAAACTATTTGCTGATCACTTCATTCTGGACCCATGAGGTTACTTTTTTTACTTTTTGGTTCATATAAGTGAATTTATCCTTTGTTGACAATACGTTGTTAATAGTATAGTACTTAACTATTTCTTTCTGGTGGGGATTGAGACAGGGTCTTGCTATGCAGCTCAGCTAGCCTCGAACTTGCAGCAGTCTTCTTGCCTCAGCCTCCCAAGTACCGAAATTATACACGCACACCCTCATGTCAGGCTCTTAATTATTTCATTTTTAAAAGATGAGTATGAATAGTGAACTTATTTTGAAGTGACTTGACTTGAATTATAATTTAGTGATATTATCTTTCTAGATCTATTTTTATAAAACTGAGAACAAGAGAGAGTCACAAACCTTGGCTTCTAATTTTTTTCTTTTAACTATTTTACTTCATAATCCTGAATCATTTGCCTAATATGTTTGTCAGTGCCCTCTTCTATAAAATGCAGTACAGGTCGTATCACCTAGTGTCTAAGCTTATTATAAAGACTTGATAATTTAGTACTTAAATTCATAACTGTCTATTTCTATGACCCTAAGGCAAACTGAGGCTCTTATAAAAAAATCTGGTACATGCCAGCCCCGCCCCCAGGGCACACTGAGAGGGCAATTGAGACTGGGCGTGGTGGTGCATGCCTGTAATCCCAGGTCTTGGGAGGCTGTAAACTGGCAGATCACTATGAGTCCAATCTAGTAGTGAGACCCTGAATACCCTGTAGACCCTTCCCTAAAATACAAAAAAAAAAAAAAAAAAGGTACAGACTTCAAGTAATTACTGATATCTTCCCGAATTCCTTTGCAGACAGTTTTGCCTCAGTGTTACTTTATGTACTTAAGGCCTTAGGTTTTATAGTTGTTGTCTAAACTTTCTTGGGAGTTGATGTGTTGGATCCTTAATCTTGGCACACTCCAGTCGTCCAGATCGCCTTCGGGACATTGCTGATCGCTTCAACGTGGACCATGATGCAGTACTGGACAACGTACTGTATGCGCGAGCATATACTAGTAAGAGCGCTGAGCAAGTGGCTGCTTTGGCAGCACTGGTTTACTCTGAGTGACACAACACTTTCAACTATTTTTCTTTATTTTATCTCATCTTTCTCCAAGTTAGTCCTTAAATTTTATCATTTTTTTTAAGTTCTTAGATGCTAAAATATTGTACTCTCAATTTATTATTTGTCTTTTTTTTTTTAATTTTTATTTATTTATTTGTGTGTGTGTGTGTGTGTGTGTGTGTGTGGCCAGCTCAGCCCACCAGGGGGCGGGGCTGGCTGGCATGTGGTGCTGGGAGATTGAACCGTGGTCCCTGTGCTTTGCTAAGCTTGTTCTAAGTAGGTGCTTTAGACCACTGAGCCATCTCACCAGCCCTATTATTTGTCTTTGAAATGCAATGTAACATTCTTCTATGTGTGGGGGTGTACAGTGTGCGTGGGGTGGGGTTGGGGTGGGGTGTGGTGCTGGGCATCAGATCCAGGGCCTCATGAACTCTAGTCACCTGCTTTGCCACTGAGCTACACCCCTACTTCCAGGAGCAACATTCTTTTGGAGCAAGCATTTGCCATGTACGCTAGGGCAGAATATGCGGTCATGTTTAGGTAGCAGAGACATCAGCAATTAAGAGAGCCCTTCAAGGACCCCTTTGGCCCTGTATCCCAAAGACATGAGTGATGTTAGCCTCTGCTTATGCTGACTTTTATAACATTTTCTCATTGTATTTCCCACAAGGTGAACATCAGATGGAACTACTTGATTATGTAGCAGCGAAGTTCCATGAAGAAGCTGGCATCTTCAAGCTGCTGGTATAGGTTTTTAAATACAGCTCATTCACAGAGCTATTTAGTAGGTTATTCTGTGGACTTCTGTTTACATGGACTTCTTCCTTCCATTTCCAAATGTATCTTTATTTTTACATTAATCCTGTGCAGATCATTGATTCAATAATGGCACTTTTCCGCGTGGATTTCAGCGGTCGTGGAGAGCTGGCTGAACGGCAACAAAAACTGGCCCAAATGCTGTCCAGACTCCAAAAGATCTCAGAAGGTAGATCTTTAAAGTAAAAGGATGCTGTCAGAATAGCCTATGTGACTATGTTTAGGTCGCAGAGACATTTACAGGTAATGTTTTTTTAAAGTCACCTTCAAGGAAATAGATTTCTTTATTTTAAGTAAAATTGATGGGGCTGGTGAGATGGCTCAGTGGTCTACAGCACCTACATAGAACAAGCTAAGCTAAGCTAAGCAAAGCACAGGGACCGTGGTTCAATCCCCCAGCACCACATGCCAGCCAGCCCCGTCCCCTGGTGGGCTCAGCTGGACACACACACACTAAATAAATAAATGAACAAATGAATAAATAAAATTTTTTTTAAAAAATAAATAAATAAAATTGATTCTGGCCTAAATAATAATAATTTTAAATAAATTAATTTATGTGAACAGTAAAAAAAGAAAAAGACTATGATCTTGTTTATAAAATAATGTTATAAGGGCTGGCCAAATAGCTCAGCAGATTAAAGTGCCTGCAAGCAGGCACAGAGACCCGGGCTTCAATCCCCATGCCTGCTGTGCTGGCCCCGGGGCAACTGAGACCAGGCGGGGTGCCACGCGCCTGTAATCCCAGCTCTTGGGAGGCTGTAAACTGGCAGATCACTAGGAGTCCAATCTAGTAGTGAGACCCTGAACACCCAGTAGACCCTTCTCTAAAATACAAAAATAAATAAACAAATAAATAAAATTATGCTAGGATATTCCTAAATTCTGAAAAATGGACTTTATCTTTTTTTTTTTTTTTTTTTTTGCCCATCTCTTAATTTTGTACTTTTATTTCTTGACAGAATATAATGTGGCTGTTTTTGTGACCAATCAAATGACTGCTGATCCTGGAGCAACTATGACGTAAGGCCCAGTGTTTGCCTTTTGACAGAGGTTAACCTGTTTTTTTGTTTTGTTTTGGTTTGGGGTTTTTTTGGCAGAACCGGGGATTGAACTCAGGCCCTTGCGCTTGCCAGGAAAGCACTTATTCCACTGAGCCATCTCCCCGGCCCAGTTAATCTGTTTTACGGAGGTTATTATCAACAGAATTAGAGTGTAGAATAAAATAATTTCAAAGTGTCCACAAGATAGCTCAGCAGACGAAGCGTCTGCTCTGGCAAGTGCAAGGACCAGGGTTTGATCCCTGGTCCCACATGCTGCGCTGACCTTGCCCCCAGGCATGATGAGACACAACAGAGTCTGGACATGGTGGCACGCACCTGTAATTCCAGCACTGGGGAGTCTGAAAACAGGAAGATCACTGAGTCTGAGCAGTGTAGTGAGTCCCTGTACCAACTGCATAAATGAAAACAGCAACAATAACAAAAAAAAAATCTCAAAATAACCCACCTTTTAAGGGCACATATCTGTTACATATCACATAGCCGGCACATAGCTCAGTGGTATTACATATCACTATTTCACAGTGTACATTACTTTATAATTGCAAATATCACCCATTTATTTATTTATTTATTTATTTATTTATTTATTTATTTTTATTTTGTGTGTGTGTGGCCAGCTCAGCCCACCAGGGGGCGGGGCTGGCTGGCATGTGGTGCTGGGGGATTGAACTGCGGACCCTGTGCTTTGCTAAGCTTGTTCTAAGTAGGTGCTTTAGACCACTGAGCCATCTCACCAGCCCCTCACCCATTTATTATCTATAATCTATTTTTCTGTAGTCCTTTGTACAATAAAGCAATAGTTTAATCATTTTCAGCAGTGCTGTAGGCTATGCTTTGCTCCAAGACTCAAAGGATATTGGAGGATAGTGAGAAAAAGACGGAAATAAGACGTTATATTCCTGATACATGAGGGGCTTATAATGCACCGACGAGCAGGAGCCTGAAAACAAAAAAGCAGGATTTGGGCAGGTTGCTCATGTGACAGCCTGGGAAGAGGCAGTAGAGAGAAGTCTCCTGCATGGAGAAACAGAATTTCAGTGTACGTGAGGAATATTCAGAATTTGCTGCAGTGTGCATGTACCAGAACCATTGACAGGTCTGTTTGAAAGGTAGCAGGGAAGACAAAGGTAAGGAAAGCTAAGATAGGATAGTAAAAACAGAAAATGTAGAGACTGTGGTTGTCACTATCCAAAATTTTGAGCATTGTGAGTCTGAAGAAGCCAATCAAAATAGCTCTGAGTTTAAAAAAAAACAAAAACCCTCTGAGCTCTGAGTTAGCGCTACTTTGTAAAATGTTTTTTTAAATAACTTTTTACTTAGAAAAAATTAAAGCAGAGAAAAGTTGCAAGATTAAGGCAATGACTATATCATTGACTTGGATTTATCAATTGTTCTATCACATTTTCTCCTGTGTGTATCTATAAAATCTCTTTGTCCATCTGTATACAAACATACTCATACATATGGATATGTGCATATACATTCCTATTATTGTTTAAGTGAGCTGCTTGGGAAATGTTTTTCCCGTTCGCTGCTGAGAATTATGTGCAGTTACCACGACACTTTATCTCTTAATAGTTCAGTACATCTCGTCTAAGAACAAGAATAGTCTCCTACATCACCACATACATTGATACATTCAGGGAATTTACTATTGACATAATATGTAGTGTTACCTAACCTGCAGTTCTATCTGCAAGTCTCCAGGTGTCTCAAAAAGGTCCTAAGCAGCTGTTGGGTTTTGTTTTTCTATTTATTTATTTATTTATTTATTTATTTATTTATTTATTGGCGGAACCAGGGATTTGAACTCAGGCCCTTGAGCATGCCAGGGAAACGCTTATTCCACTGAGCCATCTCCCCCAGCCCCTTTCTCTCTATTTAGAAGTAACTGAGGAACATGCATTGTGTATTAATTGTTGTATCTCTTTAGATGCCTTTAATCAAAACATCCCTCCAACTGTTAGATTTTTATGACACTGACATTTTTTT